CGCCACTGAAAGGAAAATTTTCGTAAGATCTTAATCATCACGACCATCAATATCCAAATTATCGTGATGCTTTTGACAGCCGCGTTTTATCGCGCATCAGTTTTCTTTCCGGTCTTCAATCGACTGCACGCAGACTGACACTCATAGAATACACTTAAAAGTTGTTATGTAGTTCGCCATGATACTATTACAGTGTTACCGAAAGTTAAAGTACACACTAAGTCGAATACAATGTGATTGGACGCTTTCCTTAAAATATTTGATTCTGTATGAATAAATCGAATTCTGGTGTCAACGCGTGACACGAGATTATTAAACAATTATTGAATTCGGTTGTCGCATGATGTGAAGGAGAAAAAATGATATTATTAATGTAATATATAATATTATTATTAATTACATAGGTGATTATTGAAAATTCTCCACTCTGATTGGTTGCCATTGAGGTGATTATAACGCACCTAAGCGATTTTCGAAATGGCGGCCGAAGCCGTTTTGTCAATTAACTGACGAAGAAATGTGTATTTTTTATTTTTTCCCAAATAATCACCTGTGAAATTATACTAAAACAATTATTCACCTCAGGCTTGGTGATCATCGTGAATAAATTATTCACCGATAATCACCTCGCCTTCGGAGAATAATTGTTAATTATTATTAATAATAATATTAATATTTTTTTTAATATTAATTTATTTATAATTAAATTTATTTCCAATAATTAAAAAATTGGTAAAAAAAATTTTTCCGCGGGTCCGCGTCCGCGAGTCCGCGTCCGCCAGTCCGCGTCCGCCGGTCCGCGTCCGCCAGTCCGCGCCCGCCTTTTAACTACACCCCTTCCATGCCTTAGTTCTTCTATTGAAAAACAAATGTACACACGTGATTATCATAAAAAAACAACTTGTTAAACATGTCACAATATCACTGGAAATTATATTTGTGGTGTTACTCTGAGTGTATATCCACACCGGGCGAGCTTGACAAATATGCCCGGCCACGGTGGGATTCGAACCTACGACCTTTGGAATACTAGCCCAATGCTCTTCCAACTGAGCTACGCGGTCAGGACGGTTCGAGTAAGTGATATTTCGGAACAGAATCTAGTTCCTTCGATGCCAATGTATTCTAGTAATATGATTTTTTTCTGTGTTGGTGTTGTGTACTCAGGTGAATATGATATTTGTGATGTTACTCTGAGTGTATATCCACACCGGGCGAGCTTGAAAAATATGCCCGGCCACGGTGGGATTCGAACCTACGACCTTTGGAATACTAGCCCAATGCTCTTCCAACTGAGCTACGCGGTCAGGACGGTTGGAGTAAGTGATATTTTGGAACAGAATCTAGTTCCTTCGATACCAATGTAATCTAGTAATATGATTTTTTTCTGTGCTGGTGTTGTGTACTCAGGTGAATATGATGTTTGTGATGTTACTCTGAGTGTACATCCACACCGGGCGAGCTTGAAAAATATGCCCGGCCACGGTGGGATTCGAACCTACGACCTTTGGAATACTAGCCCAATGCTCTTCCAACTGAGCTACGCGGTCAGGACGGTTCGAGTAAGTGATATTTCGGAACAGTATCTAGTTCCTTCAATACCAATGTATTCTTGTAATATGATTTTTTTCTGTGTTGGTGTTGTGTACTCAGGTGAATAATATGTTTGTGATGTTACTCTGAGTGCATATCCACACCGGGCGAGCTTGAAAAATATGCCCGGTCACGGTGGGATTCGAACCTACGACCTTTGGAATACTAGCCCAATGCTCTTCCAGCTGAGCTACGCGGTCAGGACCGTTCGAGTAAGTGATATTTCGGAACAGTATCTAGTTCCTTCAATACCAATATGTTCTAGTAATATGAATTTTTTTTCCTGTGTTGGTGTTGTGTACTCAGGTGAATAATATGTTTGCGATGTTACTCTGAGTGCATATCCACACCGGGCGAGCTTCAAAAATTTGCCCGGCCACGGTAGGATTCGAACCTACGACCTTTGGAATACTAGCCCAATGCTCTTCCAACTGAGCTACGCGGTCAGGACGGTTCGAGTAAGTGATATTTCGGAACAGAATCTAGTTCCTTCGATACCAATGTTTTCTAGTAATATGATTTTTTCTGTGTTGGTGTAGTGTACTCAGGTGAATATGATATTTGTGGTGTTACTCTGAGTGCATATCCACACCGGGCGAGCTTGAAAAATATGCCCGGCCACGGTGGGATTCGAACCTACGACCTTTGGAATACTAGCCCAATGCTCTTCCAACTGAGCTACGCGGTCAGGACGGTTCGAGTAAGTGACATTTCGGAACAGAATCTAGTTCCTTCGATACCAATGTATTCTAGTAATATGTTTTTTTTCTGTGTTGGTGTAGTGTACTCAGGTGAATATGATATTTGTGGTGTTACTCTGAGTGTATATCCACACCGGGCGAGCTTGAAAAATATGCCCGGCCACGGTGGGATTCGAACCTACGACCTTTGGAATACCAGCCCAATGCTCTTCCAACTGAGCTACGCGGTCAGGACGGTTCGAGTAAGTGATATTTCGGAACAGAATCTAGTTCCTTCGATACCAATGTTTTCTAGTAATATGATTTTTTTTTTTTTTCTGTGTTGGTGTAGTGTACTCAGGTGAATATGATATTTGTGGTGTTACTCTGAGTGTATATCCACACCGGGCGAGCTTGAAAAATATGCCCGGCCACGGTGGGATTCGAACCTACGACCTTTGGAATACCAGCCCAATGCTCTTCCAACTGAGCTACGCGGTCAGGACGGTTCGAGTAAGTGATATTTCGGAACAGTATCTAGTTCCTTCAATACCAATGTGTTCTTGTAATATGATTTTTTTTTCTGTGCTGGTGTTGTGTACTCAGGTGAATAATATGTTTGTGATGTTACTCTGAGTGCATATCCACACTGGGCGAGCTTGAAAAATATGCCCGGCCACGGTGGGATTCGAACCTACGACCTTTGGAACACTAGCCCAATGCTCTTCCAACTGAGCTACGCGGTCAGGACGGTTCGAGTAAGTGATATTTCGGAACAGTATCTAGTTCCTTCAATACCAATGTGTTCTTGTAATATGATTTTTTTTTCTGTGCTGGTGTTGTGTACTCAGGTGAATAATATGTTTGTGATGTTACTCTGAGTGCATATCCACACCAGGCGAGCTTGAAAAATATGCCCGGCCACGGTGGGATTCGAACCTACGACCTTTGGAATACTAGCCCAATGCTCTTCCAACTGAGCTACGCGGTCAGGACGGTTCGAGTAAGCGATATTTCTGAACAGTATCTAGTTCCTTCAATACCAATGTGTTCTAGTAATATGATTTTTTTTCTGTGTTGGTGTTGTGTACTCAGGTGAATAATATGTTTGCGATGTTACTCTGAGTGCATATCCACACTGGGCGAGCTTGAAAAATATGCCCGGCCACGGTAGGATTCGAACCTACGACCTTTGGAATACTAGCCCAATGGTCTTCCAACTGAGCTACGCAGTCAGGACGGTTCGAGTAAGTGATATTTCGGAACAGTATCTGGTTCCTTCAATACCAATATCTTCTAGTAATATGAATTTTTTTTTTCTCTGTGTTGGTTTTGTGTACTCAGGGGAATAATATGTTTGCCATGTTACTCTGAGTGCATATCCACACCGGGCGAGCTTGAAAATATGCCCGGCCACGGTGGGATTCGAACCTACGACCTTTGGAATACTAGCCCAATGCTCTTCCAACTGAGCTACGCGGTCAGGACGGTTCGAGTAAGGGATATTTCGGAACAGTATCTAGTTCCTTCAATACCAATGTGTTCTTGTAATATGAATTTTTTTCTGTGCTGGTGTTGTGTACTCAGGTGAATAATATGTTTGTGATGTTACTCTGAGTGCATATCCACACCGGGCGAGCTTGAAAAATATGCCCGGCCACGGTGGGATTCGAACCTACGACCTTTGGAATACTAGCCCAATGCTCTTTCAACTGAGCTACGCGGTCAGGACGGTTCGAGTAAGTGATATTTCGGAACAGTCACTAGTTCCTTCAATACCAATGTGTTCTTATAATATGAATTTTTTCTGTGCTGGTGTTGTGTACTCAGGTGAATAATATGTTTGTGATGTTACTCTGAGTGCATATCCACACCGGGCGAGCTTGAAAAATATGCCCGGCCACGGTGGGATTCGAACCTACGACCTTTGAAATACTAGCCCAATGCTCTTCCAACTGAGCTACGCGGTCAGGACGGTTCGAGTAAGTGATATTTCGGAACAGTATCTAGTTCCTTCAATACCAATGTGTTCTTGTAATATGATTTTTTTCTGTGTTGGTGT